AACAAATAGACATTTAAATATAACAGGGGTATTCAAATGAGTGATACGAAGAGACATTCTCATGACTGATAGATAGCCAAGAAGCTGTAAGTTTGCAAATGAAAGCCATTTCAAATTTCAGTTTTTTATCAGTATGAAAATGACAATAGAAAAAACGCAGTTTGTGAGTTTTAACTTTTTTATGAAGTTTCAAATACATCATCTCCCCTTGCTCTGAATTGAATAAATTAAAGAGTGAAACACATTAAACTTATCCATTACCTAATTCTGCATATTCTTGCCAGCTGTTCAAACTTTATTGAGTAATTCTTTATCAGTGTGCTCGTGTATTTATGGTGATGAATCACACTGTTAGATACATAGAACAAGTGTATCCTGGTGATATATTAACTCAATATCTTAGAAGCAGACCAAAATAAAAGATTAGAGAGAGATTCTATGACTATTTTTAAATGCATTGCATATAATATCTAATAGATGATATAATGATGACTCGATAAAAGTATTTCAATACTTCTGTATTATAACTGAAAATATTTTAAAGACTAAAACATGGAAATTTAATTCTGATTCCCCTACATTTCCAACTTTTTAAACATGTATAAGTAGTCTGAAAATCAGTTTCAATCTATTAAATGAAAGTTCTAATGGTTATTTCAGTCTGTTGAATAAAATATTTTTTTAGGAATTTTTGGGAACTTGTTTAGGAAAGTACAAATAAGGAATATCAGAGTAATTAGGCTTATAGCATAAGATTATATTTAGCTCTAATACTGTCCAGTTTCATATTCAGTGCTAGTTAGTTAACTTTACTCTGGTTCAGTTTCCTCAACTACAGACAGATTTTCTACCCAGATGATTTATGAAACTCAAATGAAAACAATGACAAATTTATTTACGATTTTTAAATGAATAAATAAATATTAATGTTAGACATTTTGGTGGGCTACTCTTTACTATGTTGATATGTGAATACTCTGTATAAGATCTGAGTCCGATTAAACATATGTTTTCAAACATGTTTCACTTATTTATAATGAGATCTTTCAAAATTCTTCGAACTTTGTACAATTTGGAATGCTTTATCAATATGTATAGTCATCCTACTATGCACCACACAAGTCGTTGTAATAACACATTGAACAAAATTTTCCAGATTTCTTCTGTTGTACTCACAAACAGTTCACTATTAATTTGTATAAAACTAACTTTTTGATATTTAACTTTTGACTGAACTAAATTGATATTTGACTTTCCTGCCAGGTCTATTCCTCTGAACATAGTAATATCCAGTTCAATTCATGTTGTAGAACTGTGGAAAATAAGAGGATTCCATTATTTCATGTAAGTAAATAATACTGCTTTATGCAAAGTACGACAATTGCTTCATTTGCTTAACACAGTCACTGATTTTTGGACTCATTAAATTTTGCCTCCATTTCTGTCCTATTACAGTGTTGTAGCGTCATAGAGGTATGCAGATGTCTCCTGAACAGACTGATGTTAAGATATTTACATCTTAGTAATACTGGATCATATAGGAACTCTGCTTTTAGTTTTTATTATTAAGAACCAAACTCTCCTAGTGAGTTTCCCTGCTATCATCCATTACCAAAGCTGAGCTGGACTCAACACTGCCCAAATTTATAGATCTCCTTCAAATTATGTCAAATTATTTTAAAACACTAAGAAGGTCAACCTTATCACCAAGGTTTTTATACATTGAGTTTTAAATTTTTGCATTGAGTAAAGTTAGCATTTTTTGCTATTGAGTTCTGTGAATTTGGACAAATGGTGAGACCCAGTAAATGACACAAAAATTTCTACAGTTCTAGGCTATTGTTTGTCCTTTAAACAATTCTGCAACATAAGAACCAGACACAAAATATTACCTGCAGCTTCTTTGCCTTCAAATCCTACATGATTCTTAACCTGCTTCAAAAGTTTTGATTTCTGACATAGTACATTTTCCACAATTCCCTTTAATGGAAGCACAAAATAAACCTTTCACTTACATGATATGCTTAAGATTAACATTATTATTTTTGATATTAGAAATTTGTTCCTATTTCTCAAGGATAGTCCACAGTATGGGTTCCAACAGAGCTTGTTTATCAGCTTATTAAAGGGCATTTAGATTACTTCTGCCGTTGGTAATTATGAATCATGCTGCTATAAATATTAGTGGGTAAATATTTCATGTGAAGATATATTTATTTAGGGTATATAATGATGAGAAATTTCTAGGTCATATAGTAAATATTTATATGCAGTTTTATAATCCTGCCAGAATGAGGTATTCAGTCATCAACAAACCAAGTCAAGCAAGAATCCACACACACACACACACACACACACAAACACACAACCTTCCAGACTGATTTACATATTGGCCTCATGTATTTACTTGCCAAATACAGTGTAAAATTCATCCTTCTGACATTTTAACCAGTGTTGGCTGTTTCTATTTTTATGATGGACGTACATGTTAGCATGAAACGATGTCTCATTGCAATTTTTATTATAATTTCTAGATGACTAGCAATCGAGTGTCTTTCCATATACACAGTACCCATTTCTGCTTTCTAAAAATATCTATTTAAATCTATTGAA